TGTTACAAATATACCCAAAACCGTTCCAAAACTAAAAACAATCGATGTTTATATGAAAGATGAAACCGTGCGACACCTACACATTATCACATAATAATTGTGGACGGTATATTGTACTAATACTAAGAAATTTATTATTTTAATCTAAGAATAAGATTTATAATTTACGCGAGATTTAATGTATTTAAAATTTTACAGGATCCGGTATCGTAAAAAGAAGTAAAATTTCACTTCCAGGCCATTGAAATGTGTTAAATTTTACTTTAGATATTTTTTGTTATAAATATAATAAGTAAAATTCATCTTCTTATTGTGCCGTATTCTAATAAAGGTTGGTGATTACTTCTTTAAACACTTTCCATAAATTATTATTGTTTAAATTTAACTACTTTATAAAACAAATATTGCACGTCGTAAACTGCAGGAATTGAAAAAACTATAATGATCTGTTTTCAGAGTTCTCTTTAATGTTATGTGGTTTACCATAATCCTACCGAAAGGCTTCTACTTTCTTAAACTATTACAAGATAACTCTGTTCGATATTCGTACAGTTAGAGACTAAATGTTTAAGTGCCCATGCATATTAACAAAAAATCATAATATATTAAATGGAAACTAACCTTTTTCAAGTTTATAATAGATACTTTTTTAAATTTGAAAATAATTAAAGTAATTAAGTTCCAAAATGTACCGGCTATAAAATTTGAAAATCTACTACTAATACAATTATTGGCAACATCGCAGGAGTTTAAAAGTGTACGCGAAAAGTTATATACGGGCCCAAAAATGTTTTACCCTATTACGGAGTCCACTTGATCCGACGTGTTGGTCGGAGTCTACATAAAGCGCTACTTAGATAATAATATACACGGCGTATATTCTCCTGGAGTTCGTATAATACCCTTTTAGTACGGAGCCTACATTAACCGCTGGAAGTATATATATATATATATATATATATATATAAGTTATGATTTTTGAGGATGCAGTAAGTTTATTTGGCCCACAAGACAAAGAAAACTCTTTGACTTACTGTCAAGCTTTCGAATTTTATTTAATTCTTTTTCAAGACATTTATAAAAAGAAATATAAACTAACTAGTTAAAATTGTTAATTGTCTTACTTACTAGTCGTGAGATTACAGTTGTTAATATTGTACTCTACAAAACAAACCATTATAAATATATTAAAAATTTTTTCACATTTAGAATAAAGTTCTACACCAAACTGGCTTATACCATCTCTAGCTGATCCTTGTTTTGACGCTTTCCCGAAAGTTACCCTCCAAAGAATTGTATTCTTAGCGTCGTTATACATACTCTATTTATATATATATATATATATATATATATATATATATATATTAATATATATATATATTTAAAAAACTTATTATTGTTTTATATTTTTTAGAATCTTATGCAGTTACTTGCCCACTGATATTTGTCGGATACTTTAAATTTCATTTATGTCTACAACTTCGTTATATAGTCCATTATATCAAACATAGTTTTAATGTCAATTTAAATTATGATAAATATGTTCAAAATTTAGAAAACCAGGAAGTAATTAGCTCCAAATTGAAGACAATAGTTCATTATTATATGAATATTAAAAGGGAAGTATGATTATAGAAATCCGTTATATAAATTTATTTAAATTTTAGGTATAGAACAGACGTCATCCTTTAACTGGTATGATGGGTCAATATTGACATGACCAAATTGAGTTTTATAATTTAACCAATATTGCAAAGGGCGCACGGCACTGGCTAATTATAATTTCCTTTCTTGACCTTTTACTATTGTGCATGCGGGCGACTGTTTTTTTTGCAGTGCAGTATTTTTTTAAGAATAAATACAAGTTGTCAAAAAAACCTCCGGTCTGCGAAAAAACTCATAAAGAAAAGACAATCAGAACACGCATACCTGCGGTGGAAGGTGATGCATACAGAAATAAACCATCCGAACCAGTACAATTATGGAATTTGACATTTGACGATCATATGCTAGATATTATAATAGAACACACAAATGCAAGAATTACTGATTTGACAATGTTGACGCTGATAAGGCATTAAACCGTCAATTTACAAACCGTGCAAAAAAGCTGAAATGAAAACATGCAAAACCGAATAAGTAAGGCATAAAAATAATGTGTTCGTGTGATGCTAAGACATATTATTTATTAAATACGTTTATATATGCTGGAAAAGATGATCGCCCCAATCCGAAAAAATATCAATTTCCACACTTACCGCTTTACAACTGATTACTAACGTATACAGGAATAATGCGACAAAATAAAAAAGAATCTCCTAAATTTTTGCCCAATAAGGACCGCTCTGATTTGTCAACAATTTTTGGATTTACAAACGATCTAACACTCTTATCATATGTGCCCAAAAAGCGTAAATCTGTCATACTACTGTCTTGACTACACCATACAGCTGCAATCGAAAATAATGAAAAAAAACTTCCCGAAATTATAAATTTTTCTAATTCAACAAAAGGAGGAGTTGACAGCTTGTACCAAAAGTGCACCTGTTATAATGTAGGTCGAAGAATTAGACGTTGGCCACTGACGATAGTTTTAGGGTTTAATTTGAGGTTATTGGGTGATTCAAGGGCTGTTAATTTGTATAAAGAGTTGTTTTTAGTTATTAAAGGGAGTTTTTATATTATATAGGTTAAATAGAGTTATTAAATAAAGAGTTTTTTAGTTTTTAATTGTAATTATTAGTAATTATTTAGATTTTTTAAATTAAATATATAGTGTAATTAACAAGTACCCAGAATAAATTGTTACAAAATAGATCTGTTAATAAGGTAAGTCATATTATACAATTCCACGAGGAAACTAAGTTCCTGTAGCTGGCTGTATACCATATATCACAAAAAAAATTTGTTTAAAATCCTTTATAAAAGGTATATAAAAATGCCCCAAACGGACTATCACAAACACATTGCAAAACGTTTTCGGATTAAACAATCCATCATCAGTGCAAACGGTTGTACATGCTAGTAGCCACCAAAATATATGGGTAAAAACCCTTTAAATGTTTAAAGTTTGAAGTTGTTTTACATTATTAGTATTTATAATTTGTGATGGTTAAGTTACCGTTGGATAGGTAACATGGCGGCGTATGACTCTACATGATTTTACTCATTTTACTCATTTAAACATTTCGGCTGTTACTTCATCTTTTCCTGTGCTCTTATTATTCTTTAGTTTCTCTATTATTTCTTTTCCATTAGGCGGCCTTTCTTCTATTCGTTCTTGATCTACATTTTCCTTCACTTCTTCTTCCTCTTCATATTCTGTTGTGGGAATTTCATTTAAAAGTTCTTCAAAGTATTCTTTCCATCTGCTCAATATTTCTTCGTCACTTACTAAATTTCTTCCACTTTCATTATTGTAGTGTACAGGTTTTCCTTGGTACCCCTTTTTCTCATTTTTCACCCCTTGATATAAGTTTCTAATTTCTCTATTTTTATAGCTCTGTTCTATACATTTTAATTTATCTTCATTGTATTTTCTTTTCTTTAATCTTATTATTCTTTTGGCTCTTTTCCTTTGTTCATTGTATTTTTTCTCTATCTCTGTTGTTGTTTCTTATATCATTTTCATTCTTAATTTATTTCGTGGATCTAGTTCCATTTTACATTCATCGTCGAACCATTCTTTGTATTCGTGTCTTACATTTCTATTACTGACCTGAGCTGCTTTGGTCATGCATACTTTTATTTGCATCCATGTTTGTTCAATATCCCCAATTTCTGCAATATTATCTAATCCTCTACTGACTATTCTTCCATATTTATTTTGTTCCTCTTCTGTCAGTAGTCTCACAGATTTAGTTGCTTTATACTTTTTCTTCCGCTGGTTTCTAAACACTGGAATAAGTTGTTTCATTTGTATTCCAACTATAAAGTGATCTGAATCTGCATCTGGACCTCTGTATGTTATTATGTTCTTTATACATTTTTGCTTATCCTTTTCGATAAGCACATGATTAATTTGGTTTAAAGGTTTTCCATCCGTTGATCTCCATATTCCTTGGTGTATTCTTTTGTGTTGGAAGTACGTGCTTATAATGATCATATCAATTAGGAAGTGGCCATTTTCATTCGTTGTTCCATGCAAGGTGTATTTTCCTATGGTGGGTACATATATTTCTTCTTTTCCTATTTTTGCATTACTATCACCTAGCACTATTTTCACATCGTATTTGGGAATATTTTCGAATACTGTATCTATTTGATTATAAAAGTCTTCCTTTATTTCTATATTTTTGTCTTCAGTCGGTGCATGTATATTTATAAATGTTATTTTTTTTTGTATTTTCCTCTTATTCTTAATACACATATTCTATATGAAATGGTTTGAAGTCAACGATTAGATCTTTCAGTTTTTTATTTACCACAAAGCCTGTGCCTAACATGCTATTTTCTCCCTCGCTGTTGAAAAATAAATAGTCGTTTATTTCCATTGAGTTTTACCCTAATTGCTTTGTTTCTTGTAGTGCCACTATTTCGAACTTGTATTTTTTGCATTCGTCGATTATGTGTTTTAGTTTTCCTTCCTCGTACGTTCCTCTTACATTCCATGTCCCTACTAATACGCATTCGTTTATTACTTTGTTTCCAGTAATGATCTTTACATTTTTTTCATCTCTTGTACCTTTATATTACCAAGTCGTCTTCGTTATTTTAGCCTGTTTAAATTTTGCTGTTAGTTTTTTGGTTTTACATTTTTATCTTTTACTAATTGTCGCTGGCTGTTATTCCATGTCCATATTTCTCCATCTATGATTATCTTCTAGAATCCTATTTTTACAATTTTTCCATTATATCTCTCTGCCATAGCTTTACTTCTAATTTCTTTCTGGAGAATTCTTTCCTCCTTTGACATATCATCATTTATGTAGATTCGCTCGTCTGTTTTGTTTTTTAGTTTATTTTTATATTTTATTACTTCAATTTTGTTCTTCACGCTGTTAAGTTCCACTAAGGCAGTATTTTCTTCTTTTTTCTTCTAGTTCCTTTTCTAGAAAGTTCTTTACGGTCTCTCGCAATAGTTTTTGTTCATTTGTGTCTATGTTTAGTCCTGGTATTACTACATTTTTCCTCTTTTTTTCTCTCTCCAGTTTCTCTATTTTTTTGTTTGGTGCAGTAATTTTCTTCTCTAATTGGCCTATGTGTTTAATAGCTTTTTCGTTTGTTTCACGCAACTTTCTTATTTCATCTTTGTAGTCGCTGTGTTGATCTTTTAGTTCTGTAATTTCCCTCTTAAGTTGCGTAATTTCGTCTCGTGATCTGTATTGTTCTTTTTTTATGTCTTTTACATGCATTGCTAATTCTTTCATCATTTTCATCATTTGGTCGATTCCAAATTTTTTGTGGGGTTCTCGGTGTTTTTTTTTTTGATCTCCTGGAGTAATATTCATCATCTTCTTCCCTCCTTTTCCTTCGTCAGTTACTTCCTCATCTGAATTTATTGTTCTTTATTTATAGTAATTTTCTGTACTAGGGTTATTAGTCACTGCGTCACGGGTGCAGTTGCGCGAAAACTCTACTCAATTCAAATTTCCGCCCACATCCTTGGAACCAGAGAAGCACTTTTCAGTTTGCAGGTCAAAGTTCAAAGATGTAGGGATAAAGAACAATCAGTATATATTTGTTTTCTCGACTTCAAAAAGGCCTTTGACCGAGTAGACCATAACAAACTTATAGGTGTCTTGCAACAGGTGGGAATTAATGACCGAGAGCTCCGTATTATCAAACATTTGTATTGGCATCAATGTGCAAACATACGACCTGGACATAACACGACGGAAGCAGTGGAAATACGACGTGTAGTGAAGAAAGGATGTATTCTATCGCCTCTACATTTTAATATCTACTCCGAATTTATTTTCAAAGAAGCCTTAGTTGAAAATACAGGCAATAAAATCAACGGAATTAATGTCAACAATCTCAGATATGCAGACGACACGGTACTTATTGCCTCCAATGAAGAAGACCTGCAACGACTTATAAACAGGGTAACCGAAGCATGTGATGTATATGCGCTAAAAGTGAATACTTCTAAGACAAAACATATGGTTGTCAGCAAAACGGAGTTGCAACCAACGAACATCAGAGGGTATGTAATAGAGTTAGAGAGAATCCACAATATTACCTACTTGGGTGCAAACGTTAACGATAACTGAGATACAAATAAAGAAATAAGAATTTTATATTATATTAAAATCAAAACAATTAATATGATCACATCTCTAACAAAATTTAATTATTTGTTATGATTATGATATAAGTTTAGGAAAAGGCTGTTTAAGATTAATTAACTTAATTTTTTTGCATAGGTAAATATATTGAATAACACAGAGTTTTATATGCATTTGCATTTAGGCTTAAATTTAAAACAACCGTGACAATAACAGTGAGAATATTCTTTGCAGGACATTTGAAGTTATAATGGCTGTCCAGAACTTTTCCATACTTGTACTCGCTACAGTTGGAGTAGTATCAAGCGTAGCACTGTTATATTTTATCATTATAGTAAGTATTTAACACAATATAATACAAAAAAAAAAATTCAAATAATTTATAATTTATTAAGACCAAACAATTTCTTTTATAGGCAACGATAAAAAAGTAAAGATATTCTGCATTTTTTTGTATGAAATATTTCAAAAATTGGAAGTAAAATAAGAAATATCGACTGTATACTTTTTATTTTGATAATGATTTGGGGACTTATTGGAGCTCTAGTCTCCTTTATCAACCATCATTATAAAAGTGTTTAAGTCATATACGCAGTTTGTGAAAAATAGAAATTTTATGTAAGAGTCCACCACCACATCCACCGTTCATATTTTTTGGCGAACCGCTTACATAACCGAAACAATTTATAGTGTATTTTTATGTATGAGAGAGTAATAAAACAATAAATTATGTATGCAAATCCCAAAACTGTTGATACGGGCGACTCAATGAAAAACAGATATTTGTCAACAAGTTTACAGAAGTATATAGGAAAACAATTTTAAATTGAGTATGACCACCAGGTATAAAGGTTGGAGCAGAATAGAATACAATAGTTGTGAGGGTTACTTATCCCTAAATAAGGTTGCCAGTGTCTGAGTGATGGAGGTTAACAGGTACTAATGAATTTGCAAGAAATGTAAGATGTTTATTTTATTAGTTATATATATATATATATATATATATATATATATATATATATATTATATATATATATAAGCGAGGTTCCTACAGCCTCTGCCGTTTCTCGCATTTCGACCGCCATCGTTTTCTGTCCATCCATTCGTCTTCTCTGATGGCTCTATCTCTCATTATGTGCCGTACATTTTCTTCCCAGGCAACTGAAGGCCTTCCCCTTCTTCTTCTTTGTTGTGGTATGTAATTTAAAGCTTTCTTTGGCCATCTATCTTCATTCATTCGTTTCACGTGACCATACCACACTAGTTGTCTCGTTTCAATTCTATCTACACTGGAATATACAGTATTTGTCCTCCTTCTAATATCTATTAGTTATATATATATATATATATATATATATATATAATATATATATATATATATATAAAGTACCTACCTATTTGCAAAATAAAGTTTAATTCTTTAGATAAAATAAAACGTTTTATTTTATCTGAAATGAGTGCATTCCACGAAGTAAGGGTTTCAACAATCAAACATTTAATTCTTTAATTCCAGGAATCTACGACAGTAATTGACTAGATAATTACCTTCTAAACTTATTCCACAGAAAATGGGATAGTGGGTTTTTCCATTTTGTAGGAAGGTCCAAGTGGCGTATTCAAAATTCTTAACAGTTCACTAAAAGTAGGTACTTCAGTTGCAAGGTGCAGTTTATTGTGTATACTAGTGTTATGGAAAATTTGGAAGTGCCGTGTAAACGCCGAAAAATTGGTCCTTTAACAGTTAATGAAAAAACATTAATATTTAATTGTTTTAAATCATTTACAGACAAACGTTTATGTGAAAGTGTTGATGAGACCGTTGAGTTAGTTAGCAGTACACTTGGTGTTGGGAAATCTACGATTTATAGAGTTATTAAAGAAGAGAAATGTGGTAGTTTTCAAATGCCACGTAATGCTCCAGGGAAACCAAAATTTCAAATAGAATATCATTTTAAAGAAGGACTTCGACGGAAAGTGCATGAATTCTTCTTCAGACAAGAATTTCCAACATTGAATAAAGTTCTTGTCTCAGTTCAAGATGATAAGGATTACCCAGAAATGAGTCGAAGTACGTTATGGAAACTTTTAAAACAAATAGGCTTCCGCTGGAAAAAGAATCCCAGAAAGTCTATTTAATTAGAAAGAAGCGATATTGTCATATGGAGAAGACATTTTCTAAGAACCATAAAGGAAATGAGAAACCAGAAAAGAAAAATATTTTATCTTGATGAAACATGGATCAACGAGGGTCATACACCAAATAAATTTTGGCAGGATGAAACTGTTACAAGTCAAAGCACGCTTTTGTAAATAACTTATCTACTGGTTTAAACCCACCATCAGGAAAGGGACGCAGGCTGATAATAAGTACACATTGGCAGTTCAGACGGTTTTGTTGAAGGTGGTTTATTAACTTTTGAATCAACTCGTACCGGTGACTACCATGAAGACATGAACGCTGATGTCTTTCAAGAATGGTTCGAACAAATGATAGATCTTCTTCCTAAGAACTGTGTAATAGTAATAAATAATGCAAGTTATCACTTCAGACTTATAGAAGGACTGCCCACAACTAAGTGGTTAAAAAAAGACTTGCAGAATTGGCTGAGTTCAAAAAATATTACGTACCGTCCCGGATCTATAAGAAAGGAACTTTATTCGTTGTGTGCCCTTCATCAAGAAAAATTTAAAAAATACGAAATTGATGAAATTGCCAAAAATCGTGGAATGACAGTACTTAGATCCCCACCATATCATTGTGAATTAAACCCGATTGAACTGGTATGGGCACAGATAAAGAGTGAAGTTTCAAGAAAAAATACCACAAAATTCATTATGTTAAACAGTTGTTTTTGGAGGCCGTAAATAAGGTAAAACCTGAAAACTGGGAAAAGGCAGTAAATCACACTATTAAAGAAGAGGAAAAAATGTGGAAGCTGGACAATATTACTGATAAAATGATCGAACCAGTTATTATAAAACTTGGTTCTAAAAGTTCATCTTCTGAATCTGATTTGGATTTGTAACAAGTAGCTGTAAGTTTTATATTAATATTTTTATTCATCTATTTAACATACCTTAGACGGTTTTAAAAACACTTTTTCTCTTTTGTAATTAAAAAAAAAAAAATGTGAATTTTTTAAAACCCTTTTTAATGTAGGCCAGTCAGTTCTAATATAGTGTGTGATAAAAGAGGTCACTTTTGTTTACATACACATAACACTTTATAACACTGAAATAATTCATTTATTTTTTACAATTATTCAAAGTAATTTTTCAATTAATCTTGAGCACGCCCATGGAGTGGTCGGATGTACCAGTTAAAATTATGCTAATTACTCTCTCGTTCATAAAAATAAACTATAATACCTGATGACTGTATTCCAGGTTTTAGATCATTCAGAACATTTTACAAAGAAAATATTTTTTTATAAAATAAAAATAAAAAAGTAGTCACTTTACCATACAACATCATACTACCCTGGCTTTGTTAAAGTAAACGTACTCCTTATAGCGCTACCAATAAAATTACTAACGAGTGTTTTGGTGTTTCTTGTATAAACTCAAAATTTCTTTGACCTTTTGACGTACTTCAAGGCTGTCTAACTTTTCCTGTAGTGATTCAAATTCATCACAACGTTCTTTCATCCAGCTTTCCTTTGCGTTTTTAATTCTTGCCCTTATCGTAAGTTAGCTTTCCTTGTATTTCTGTCGATTCTGATGTATTTTGTACTTGTCTGCATTGCTCCATTAGATATCTTCCGTCATCCACTCGTTTCTGTGATTTCTTTTTATTTCACTTACGACTACTTCGTCAGCCTCGACTATAGCTATTTTTATTTTCTCACAGGTTCCTCTACGCAATTTCCTCGTATGTTTCTCAAGTTCTCGTTGATGTGCTTACTGCATGTAAATCTAAGCTCTTCATCTTTTATTAATTCTCTAGTGTTTATGTATTATTTTTTATTGGATGGCTTTTTACCCTTTGTCAATCGAAGCCTTACATTCGCAATTAGGGGGTTGTAGTCAGACGAAATGTCCATACGAGGGTAAGCGGACACTCATTTTATATAGTTACGAAATTTTTTGTTTACCAAGATGTAATCAATTTGATTTTGTATCATATGACCTAGACGATCTCCTGGTGCTGGCCATGTATATAATCTACAAACTTTAATTATTAACTCTCCTCGCTCATTTTTGTTCCTCCCCCTCAATCCTTTAGCCCTTGTCAGGGAGTAGTGACACCCTAAATATTATAAGTCTGCTGTCTCCATTGACTGCGATCTTGTGCCATATGGACGGCTTCATGTAGGGATTTTCCCACCAAACTCTTCATTTGGTCCACCCATCGTATTGGAGATCTTCCTCTTGGTCTTCGGCCTTCTACCTTACCTTCTACTACCAATAGTTCCATGGTGCCCGTTCTTCTAGCTATGTGGCCGAAGTAAGTTAGGTATGCTTGGTTTACTTTTTTTAGTAGCCTGTCTTTTATATGAAGCTCTTCCAGAATCGACAGGTTGGTTCTATGTTCTGTCCAGGACACGCGTAGAATTTTTCTATATACCCACATTTCGAAGGCTTCGATCTTACTCCTATCGATTTTTTTGAGAGTCCATGTTTCAGCTGCATATGTAGCAATGGGAAAAATAAGGGCATTGACCAACCTAAGCTTAGTATTCCTTGTTATTGTTCGGTCTTTCCATATTTTAATTAATTTAGCAGTTGCGGTTCGGGCCATTCCTAGTCTACGTTTGATTTCTGAGGAACAATCACCATTGTTGGTTATCAGAGAGCCCAAGTATACAAATCTGTCGACTACTTCGAAAATCCCTATTTGGCGTATATGCGGTAGATTATTATTTGCTCTGTCTACAATCATTATTTTTGTTTTTCTGGTGTTGATTTGAAGTCCGAATTCTTCACTTATTCGGCTTAGCCGTTCGATGATGGTAATCATTTCGACTTCATTCGCTGCTAGTATAAGTGTGTCATCTGCGTATCGCAGGTTACTGATTTTTCTGCCTCCTATAGTGATTCCTCCATCCCATTTATCTAGTACTTTTCTCATTATATATTCAGAATATATGTTGTACAATAATGGTGATAGTATGCAACCTTGTCTAGTTCCTTTCTCTGTTTTGAATGCATTTGAATATATTCCATGTACTTTAACTTTGGCTGAGTTTTTATTATACAGATTTCTTATTAGGTTAACTAGGTAGTTAGGTACTCCCATATTTTCCATTATACTTCAGAGAGGATCCCATTTTACTAAATCCAAAGCCTTTGTGTAATCTACAAAACAGAGCAACATTGGTATGTTATGT